TCACCAAAAAGAAAAAAAGAATCTACCAAGTAAGTTCAGTGATCATTGATGACTTCTTTAAAATCCATTATTTTTGCCAACTTCAAAAAAAAAATCTGTGAGAAAAAACGGATTCTTTGCTCTGTTCATTATGAGAGCAAAATCAAATGTGAATAATTTAGTGACGGGTTGAGGTTTGACATCTCAAAGCGTTTGGGGCCTAAATTTTTCAGAAGCTCTTGGTTTCACGGTTCACGTTGGCACTCCAGGGCTTCACACCATCAGAATTCAGATATCTGCACTTGGCAATTTTATATGTGGACGTCTACATGTCACATTCTAATAGCACATCAAAACTCATTACATCCAGAAGCAAGTTTGTTATCTCAAAATAGGCACCTTCTTAACCACCCGCCCCCACCAAATTTCTTCACCTTGTTCTATTTTTGTGTCAGAGAGTTTCTCCTCTTCTCATTACCCACTTGGAAATTTGTCTTTGAGTAACTCAGCCGTGCTTTCATACTGACTTTCCACATCTCTCACATCCTTCTCTTGGCCACCCCTCCTATGAGCATATTAGCAATGAGTGCCTAATTAGTATTCTGGTTCCTGTCTCTGCCTCCACAGCACCAGTGGGGAAATCTTCCCTCTGTGCTCCTGACAGTCCTCTGCTGCCGCAGCACAAAACCCGTCCTCAATGTGACATTCAAGGCCTCCTCTAGCCTCCTCTCCCCATGCCTCCACCGCAACCCTACTGTCCCTCTGCACCTCACCAGCACAGGAAGGGACCGGGCATATTCCTCCCCCACCACCCCTGCTTGTGCCTCGAATCCTTCCTTTCTATGACATCCAAATATTGCATATCCCCTAAAGACAAAACATTCACTGTCTCCCTGAGATGATTTCTGGGAAATGGCTTTCCCCATTGAAATGCCTGTGTGGTTCTATCAGTGGTCAGGCAGGTAATTCTCACCTATGCCAATGTCTCCCAGTGTCCGCTACCCCTTTTATATCGTGGTTTTGTTATCAGTGGTGGCACACATCAGTTTATAAATACAATGCACCTTGATCATGCCACCCCTTCATCATTCTCTCCCAACCCTCCCAAAACCAGCCCTGTTCTCAATTCTTGGTTTCACATAATACATGTTAAGTATTATGGTTGCCTTCCTCTCTTCATTCATTCACCCTCCCTCCCCTTGACCTACTCATACCTTTAAAGTGCCAGTTTCCTGGTATTCATTTCGTTGGACTATGAGTTTGTTTTCCTGAGGAATTTTACCATCTGAATTCTCCCCTGCAAATACCATACTTCAGTTACTACATCTGTGTACACTTGCATACAAACTGTGTCTGTTTACTTGTACACTTATGAATTAGTTTCTCATTTCCATGTAAGGCCGTGTCTTCACAAAGTAAAATAAAAAAATTTCCAAGTTGAAAATTATATTAAGTGAAGTAAGCCAAGCCCAAAGAAAGATAGGTCCATGGTTTCCCTTATTTGCAATATCTAGTATATGTCTGAGTCAAGCAGAAAAGGTCAGATGAGGTGATGTTAGGGAAATGAACCCAAAGATATGTATTCAAATGTTTTCTTTCATGCAATTGTTTCTAACACATTTATAAGATGATTTCTTTGTTGCTTTGTATGTCCTTCCCCCACAGTATAACCTATGCTTTCACTGTATTTGATGTCGTTATAATTTGTGGAAGGGAAAGGGAAAAACAAGTCATTTAAACGGGGATACAGGTGGACCCATTGTGACAATGAGAAGTACAAGTTGTCATGTTGAAAACGAACTTTACAACTTCGGTGGCGAGGGGGCGGGGAGGATTGGGGGAAGGGGGGGGATGTGAAGGGACAGGAAGGGGAAACAAAGGAGGAGGCTACAATGCTTGATAAGAAATGTACTCATTATCTTGCCCATGTAATTGTAACCCCTCTGTACAGTATTTTCACAATAAAACAAATGTAAAAAAAAAATTTCCAAGTTGATGAACTCCAAAGCCAAGTGTTATTTTTCTCTATGATTCAAGTGTCTCAATGAAGATCTGCTCAGAAGTCGAACTCACAAATTACTAAGTTAGAAACATCAGCAGGGAATCTGTGTTATGTTTGCATTGCATTTAAAATGTCCTTACTAGGATATATATCAACAATAGAATGATGATCTTTTATGTTTGCACAGGCTTTTATGCCCCACCTAAAGTATCTCCTGATTCCCCTACGTTTCAAGTGAAGACAGCAGCTATAATTGGGGCCATTTCTTTTCTTTTTTTTTTTTGGGTCCAGTCGTGGGGCCTGAACTCTGGGCCTGGGTGCTGTCCCTCAGCCCTTCAGCTCAAGGCTAGCACTCTACTACTTGAGCCACAGTGCCACTTCCGGCTTTTTTCTTTTTGCTCAGGGACTCAGGCATGCAAGGCAAGCACTCTACCACTGAGCCACCTTCCCAGCCCTGGGGCCATTTAACAGAGCAAAGCCACATTCTGGAGACAGACAGTCCAATTTCCTTTGGAACAAAGAGACGAAGTTCTCCAACTCTGGCAGACCTGAAGTCAATGCCAATTCACGTGATTACCTGACGCTGAATTACTTAACTTCTTGTGTAAAAAGATGAGGCTGCAGAGGTGCCCACCTCCTATGTGTTGTGAAGATGATTTGAGGAAATGCCAGGCATCAGGTGCTGTGCAGAGAAGAAAGCCACCAGGGGCAGAACTCCCATGCTGCACCCAGAACCTCCCCCTACACCTCGCCCCCACTATGCCCCCCACTGCTCCCACCGCACCCCTCAATCCCCACCTTGTGGGCCTCCCCACTCCTGGCTGACCAGTCACCCCCTGACCTGGGCCGCCTTCCCACTGGACCAGACACCCCTCCACCACTAATGGGATCCTGGCTGCACAAGGCCTCTGTTGGCTCTGCAGGCCGGGGCCACAGTGCCCTCCAGCGGCCACCTGCGGAGCAGCACCTGCTGCCCTGTCCAGGGGGCGGGCCCAGAGCCTGGTCAGGCAGCTCCCCCGCAAGGCACAGGGCCCCACCCGGCCTCCCTGCCATGCCAGGTGCCCTCCTCACCAGTTGCTCTGAGATGAGGGTGAAGTTGGTCCAGACTGCCTCCAACTGAGTGCCTCTGACCTCTGCCTCTGGGACCGCGGGGACCACGGAGTGGCAGGCGTTGGGCACAGTCAGGGTGGGAGCCAAGGCCGGGCTGGGCCTGCCAACCCTCAGCCCCGCTGGCCCCGCTGACCCCGCTGACCCAGCGACCCTACGACCCCGGCCCCACGCAGAGCAGCGGACCCACAAGCTCTGTGCTCAGCTCCCTGGAGAGCCACGGAAGGGCGGCCCGGAGCATAAGGCAACATTCACACCCAGCACCTAGGACAACGGAATGACTCACACTAACACCACACACACAATCACACACACCACACACGGTCACAGTCCACACACCACACACGCTCATTCAATCACACCACACACACCACATGCTCACACTCAATTACACCACACACACGCTCACTCACACACCATACACCACTCACACCACAAACCACACAGGCTCTCAATCACACCACCCATTATACACACACCACATACGTTCACACTCACAATCACACTACACACGCTCATTCAAATCACACCACCCACACACCACACACGCTCATACACCACACACCACACACCATACACGCTCACTCACATACACCACACACGCTCAATCACACCACACCAGACCTACAGCACTCATACCACACTCAGTCATACCAAACTCACACCACACAGTCATACCATACCACTAACGCTCACACTCACCACACACCAAAAATACCACACACTACACGCTCACACTCACTGAATCACACCACACTCACACTCAATCACACACACCACACATGCTTGCTCACAATCACACCACCCACACACCACACTCACACCACATGCTCACACTCATACCACACCACACACAAACCACACACGCTGTCACTCAATCATACTACACACACCACACACACTCACACTCAATCACATCACACACACACCCCTCACGCTCACACACACCACACACCACCCACACTCACACTCGCACATACACCACACACCACACACACACACAACCCCCTGGTCTGTCACCTTGAGCTGAAGAGAGCAGAGACAGCACCCAAGCCCAGAGTTCAAGCCCAACAACCGACCCCTCCAAAAAATATCCTGAACTGAACATAGCATATATGTATATATGTGAAATAACATGGCAAAATTCCTTTGTGTAATACACACTTAAAAAAATGAATGATAGGAAAGTAATATAGGCTCTTCTGGGTGATCAGGTACTAGCAGGAGGGAAGATGGCCAAGGAGAGGGCAAATTAAGTACTTTACACATGTATGAAAATAGAATAAAACTTATTTTCAACGATTTGTATGCATGTATGGAAATGTCTGAGAGCTAATATAGTAGAAGCCAGGCACTGGTGGCTCACGCCTGTAATCCTAGCTACTCAAGAGGCTGAGATCTGAGGATCGAGGTACAAAGCCAGCCTGTGCAAGGGAAGTCCTTGACACTCTATCACCAATTAACTACCAGAAAACTGGAAGTGGTGCTGTGGCTCAAGTAGTAGAGCTCTAGCGTTAAGCTGAAGAGCTCAGGGATGGTGCACAGACCCAGAGTTCAAGTCCTACAACTGACAAAAAAGAAAGAAAGAAAGAAAAAAAAGACAATACATATGGCTTTAAATCTAATATATTAAACTTTATTCTTAGGAGTAAATAACCAAGCATTTCTCAGTTTTCTGAGGTGTCTTTAGCAGTATAATAATTTCAGTAGTTCATCTAGACATAAAAAGTCAAAGTTTATTCCATTAATAAGAACACAATTTAATCCAAAATTACTAAGACTCTTAAATGCAATCTTATTTTCCTCTAGCTATGATGGTATTTTTTCCTCCAAGACTGAATAAATAATACTAAACTAAGTGGGTATCCAATGACTCACCTGTACACTTGAAAATTTCACTTTTGGATTGTTATCTATCTCCCATAAGCCTTCATTGAAACCTTTTCGTTTATTTGGTTTGCCATACTTTTCCTTATTTTCTGAGTAAGGAAATATATCCTTTGGTCCTAAAAAAGCACTAAAACAGAAGAAGATAATAAGTGCAATGCAACCTCAAATAAATATATACATAGTACATTACTAAAATAACACTATTATATGATGCATTTCATAAAATACAAATTAAAGGGAAGACAAGGATATAAAGTCTGATGAATTCATTTCAATGAACACAATCTCACCAAGACATGAGAAGGCTCTAAGTACTGGCAGAACAAATGTTGGAAAAGTCTTTTTGGGGAGAGTATATATGCAGATATTGGGGCTTGAACTCAGAGCCTCCCACTATTGCTTAGCTTTTTTACTTAAGGCTACAGTCACTCTACTACAGCCATAGTTCCACTTCCAGCTTGGAACACAAGAGAGCCACACAGACATTTCTTCCAGGCTGGCTTAGAATTTTGATCCTCATATCTCAGGCTGAATAGCTAGGAGTATAGGTATGAAACACCAGCCACCTGGCTTCTAAAAGATTTTTAGGTTCCATTTCTTTGCAGAACAATAAATGTTTTCTGTTTAGAGGTAGGGATAAAGTAGGCTATATTTTATTCCAAATACTACTGTTTTTTTTTTCGTTTACAGTACTAAGGATTGAATCCAGGGTCTCACAGAAACAAGTCAAGCACTAAACCACAGAACTACATGTCAATCTGATATACTTTATTAATTCAGTAATGAGTTCCTAGATCCATAACACCATCTCATTTACATAAACTTTATTTTTGGTACTGATCCTGGGCCTTGAACTCAGAGCCTGGGCACTGTCCCTGAACTTTTGTGCCCAAGGCTACAGCTTTAGACCACTTGAGGCATAGCTCCACTGGTTACTGAAAATGGGATTCTCATGAACTTTTCTGCCCAGACTGGCTAAGAACCTCAATTCTCAGATCTCAGCCTCATGTGGCTATTAGAGGCAGGAATCACCAGCACCTGGTCTCATTCAGTTTAATTGAACAGGCTTTTCAGGCCCAGAGTTCAAGCCCCACGAACGACAAAAAAATAAAATAAAATAAAATAAAAAAAAATAAAAACAAAACAAACAAAAAAAAAAACTTCCCCCCCAAACTGGACAAAGCCAGGCTGGGGAGAAAAAAAATCACCAAGTCGGAATAACCAGCAAAGAGATGGTCTGAAAGCATGGTTCAAGTGGTAGAGAACCAGCCAAGCAAACGAACCAGGCTCAATGCCTCAAAGCTCAAGCTCAAAATCTAGTACTGTGAAAAAACAGAAAGTACCTAATTTAAACATCATTATATACTTCTAATTAAATATGAACAGATTTTCATGTCAGTAATTATTTAATGCATTTTGCTAAGTGGACCTATCAATCTATTGTTTGAGCACTTTTTCTGTGCCAATAGTGAGGGCTTGAACTCAAGGCAAGGCTTCATACTCTTGCTGTCTTTTTTCTGCTCACAGCTGGTGTTCCATCACTTGAGTCACACACTCCAATCTGCTTTTCTGCTGGTTAATTGGGATTCCCAAGCACTTTTCTTTGGGCTTCAAACCAAGATACTCAGATCTCAGTTCTCCTAAGTAGCCAGGAGCCTGCAATATTTTAAGAGTCTGGGACCAGTGGCTCATGCCTGTAATCTAGCTACTCAGGAGGCTCAGTCTGATGTTGGTTTGAAGCCAGCCAGGCAGAAAAGTCCAAGGGACTCTCCGATTAACGAGCAAAATCCTGGAAGTGCAGGTGTAGCTCAAGTAGTAGCAAATACCAGGCCACTGAAAAAGCCAAGCAAGAGTTTAAGACCTTGAATTCAATATTCAGCATCAGCACACAAAAAAATAAAATAAATATTGTAACAGTAAATATACTGCTCAATGTTTGATCTTCATAATCAATTCCAAGTATTGGTGGGGTAAAGAATATGCTCAAGACTGATAAGTCAAAAACAAAGCTGATAAAAAAAGAACTGTCCATGGGGATACAATCCCCTAAGATTCCTGAATAGTACATAAATTAGCCTAGAGACCGCACCGCTAGTTACCAAGGAACACCTTATGGTGGCTGTGGCTATGGTTTTCTCTTAGAAATGTTCCATTTTCAAATGGCCTACAAAAAGTGTTTTATATGCAAAATGGAAATAGGACATAATCTATTACATTTTGATAGCAAATACAAAAAAATTGTGAAGCCAGGAACCCATGGATCACACCTGTAATCTAGCTATTCAGGAGGCTGAGATCTGAGGATCATGGTTAGAACCCAGCTCAAGCAGAAAAGGCCATGAAACACTTATCTGCAATTAACTATCAAAAAGGTAGAAGTGAAACTGTGGCTCAAGTAGCAGAGCACCAGCCTTGCACCAAAAACAAAAACACTAAAGGAAAATGCCTAGGCCCTGAGTTCAAGTGCTGGTACCAGCTCGAGAAAGAGATTAAAGGGAGGAAAGAAGGGAGGAAAGGGAAGAAGGAAAGAAGAGAGGGGAGGGAGAAAGGAAAGGGAGAGAGAAAGGAAGGAATGAAGGAAGGAAAATTGTGAAAGTTCAGAGGAAAAAAAATCAGAACACAACAGGTTTAGAAATTCTAAAATATAAAAATATTATTCTTTCTCTTTAGTGGTTAAATTGTAGAACTTTCCTTTTATTATTTGCTTTTTAAAAGCAATGAGAAAATTAAGCAGTAAATTCCAAATCTAACAGTAAACTTATGTGGATTGAAGTTCTTTTGCAAATATATAGAAAAGCAGTTATGTCTCTGATTTTACCTTTTTACTAAAAAGTATGGATGCCCATAAGAAAGCCCACACAAAGTCACCACAAACTTAGAACTTTTTTTTTTTTTTTTTTGGGTCCAGTCATAGGGCCTGAACTCTGAGCCTGGGCGCTGCACTTGAGCCATAGCGCCACTTCCGGCTTTTTTCTTTTTGCTTATGTGGTGCTAGGGAATCGAACCTAGGGCCTCAGGCATGCAAGGCAAGCACTCTACCACTGAGCCATCTTCCCAGCCCAAACTTAGAACTTTTAAGTCAAACCAAAGGGGCCATAATCAAAATATGAAGGCCTATCAGAGACAAGGACATCAAGATCAAGTCATTTATCTTTGTTAAGTAGTATTTTCTAAACAAAACGTTTCATTTTCAACTTATCAACTCTAACTTGCTGCTTCATTTACCTATTATAAAATCACAAAATATGAAACAAATCTTAAAAAGGATGTTTACTAAAATTTTATAACAAGTCAGGCACGAGTGATTCATACTTGTAATCCTAACATGTTGGGAAGGTAAGAGCTGAGGATCATGGGTAAAAGCCCATGAGACTTTTAACTGCCAAAAATTCAGAAGTGGAACTACAGCTCAAACGGTAAAGTACAAGCCATGAGCAAAAAAAAAAAAAGAGAGAGAAAAAATCAGAGAAAGTGCCCAAGCCCTGAGTGAAGGCCCAGGCTTGGCTCAATAAATAAATAGATGCTATGACAGTAAAAGGTAGAATGTTGGGGAAAACAACCAGCAGAAGGAGAAAGGACAAGCTGGGTGCCAGTGGCTACGCCTGTAATCCTAGATACTCAGGAGGCTGAAATCTGAGGATTACAGTTCAAAGCCAGCCCAGGCCAGAAAGTCTATGAGACTCTAATCTCCAATAAATCAGCAAAAAATTGGAGTAACACTGTGGCTCCAGTGGCAGAACACTAGCCTTGAGTTGAAGAGCTGAGGGACAGAGCCCAGGCCCAGAGTTCAAGTCCCACAACTGACCCCCCCCCCAAAAAGGAACATAATTTCAACAATGTACATTATATGCATGTATGAAAATACAACTATGAAATCTCTGTAAATTTACTGTAATTAAAAATTATATGCATATGTGTACACCGTTATATGTTATAGACCGCGATAGACAATTTGCTCCAGGAAAGTTAGAATGAACTTGTGACTTTAAATGAGCATCATTATTCCACAATACTGTGAAATTTGGGAAATTATGTAATCACTTAATCACAATTTAAAAAAAAAAAAAGAACCTCGGGGAAGGTAGGGAGGTAAGGGGATGGTAGGGGGGAAACAATGGAGGGGGTAGCAATGCTCAATAGGAAGTGTACTCGTTACCTTGCTCATGTAACTGTAACCCTCTGTATAGTATCTTCACAATAAAAAATTTAAAAAAATTATATGCATACTATACACTATACTATATAGTATTTTTTAAGTTTCTAAAGTTGAACATTAATAAGAGATAAAAGCAGCAAAGTATGACTAAATTTTCAAGAGTTTGGAGAGTTCGAAGACATTCTCTCAATTAGCAAAGCTAGTCAGCAAAATTCAAACTGAGCTGATCTAAACTTAGTAACACTACAATAACAGCCTTAGAAAAAAAATATGCAATGTTACTATTAATTTATAAATCCCAGCAAGTATTGCTCCCAAAACAAGTCTTTCAAAGTCATACAATTCTTACTGGCATTTTATTCAACACATACTTAGCATTAGTCTAAGTAATTATTTATGAAAGCACCTTACCTGTGTCCTAAAGTTCTAAGATGGATGATATTCCTATTTTACAAATTCAGAAGGACACAAAGGTAAGTAATTTGCTGAAAGTCACATAAAATAGGCAAATGTGACTGCTGTAATCTACTTGTATTAAATCCTGTGTCAAGTGTTACAAAGCAAATTCATCATCAACCCATGACTTTACTCTCCAAGCTTTTGGGAAGTACTGGCTTTGCAAATGTAAATGGTATACTTAAAAGAACACTGATAATAGCTGGGCACCAGTGGCTCCTGCCTATAATCCTGGTTACTAAGTAAGCTGAGAGGATGAGAGCTGAGGATCACAATTTGAAGCCAGACCAGCAGGCAAGTCTATAAAACTCTGACCTCCAGAAATGAATCTATGGCTCAAGTGGTAGAGTGCTAACCTTGAATAGAACACCCCGGCCCTGAGTTCAAGCTCTAGGACTAGAAAAAAAAAAAACAAAAAACACTGAAGATCAAAAACACTAAAGTATACTTTGAAATAAAAATGCCACTAAATTTTTATGAAACAGGTAGTTTTATTTTTTTTTGGGGGGGGGGGAGGTCGTGGGGCTTGAACTCAGGGCTTGGGCGCTGTCCCTCAGCTCTTCAACTCAAGGTTAGAGCTCTACCACTTAAGCTACAGTGCCACTTCCAGTTTTTAGGTGGTTTATTGGAGATAAGATTTTCACAGACTTGGGGCTGGGAAGGTGGCTCAGTGGTAGAGCGCTTGCCTTGCAATGCATGAGGCCCTGTGTTTGATTCCTGAGCACCACATAAGCAAAAAGGAAAAAAGCCAGAAGTAGCACTGTGGCTCAATTGGTAGAGCGCTATCCTTGAGCTGAAGAGCTGAGGAACAGCGCCCAAGCCCAGAGTTCAGGCCCCACGACCTGACCGGCCCCCCCCCCCCAAAAAAAAAGATTTTCACGGACTTGCCTGCCTGGGCTGGCTTTGAACCACGATCCTCAGATCTCAGCCTCCTGAGTAGCTAGGATTACAGGTGTGAGCCACCGGCACCCAGCTTAAAGCAGGTATTTTTAAATTTGAATGTATCTTAATTTCCTTTATTTTGGTATTAACCAAGTAATACCTAATAAGTTTAGGTATCCAGTGTAATGCTTTGATTTAAATACAGACTTTGGGCTAAATATGCTTCTCAGTGGTAACACTGCTCAGCAAGTTCAAGACCCTAGGTTTAATCTTCAGCATTGAAAATAAAAGTTCTCCATTTTTTAATGTTGGGGAAAGAATAGACACTTTTAAATTTAAAATAGTAACCTAATGCTGGTGGTTTTAGCTCACTGAAGGAGCACTTGCCTTGTATGAACTAGGACCTCATTGGATCTCCAAGACTGTTAAAAAAAAAAAGAAGTAACAATGGTCTACACAAGTGCCCTATAAAACTGTAAGAATGTGTATATATACATACACGTATATGAATATTTTACAAAATGTCTTAAAATCAGAGAAATCAGAAGTAATTTTTTTGGGGGGGGAGGTCTGGTCATGGGGCCTGAACTCTGGACCTGAGTGCTGTCCCTCAGCTCTTAAGCTCAAGGCTAGCACTCTACCATTTGAGCCACAGCACCATTTCTGGCTTTTTTCTTTTTGATTATGTGGTGCTGAGGAATCGAACCCAGGGCCTCATGCATGCAAGGCAAGTGCTCTACCACTGAGCCACCTTCCCAGCCCACTCAGAAAGAATTTTTTAAAGTTACAAAAATAAAAAATTGGAGGCTGGGAATGTAGCTTAGTGGTAGAGTGCTTGCCTAGCATGCCATGATGCCTTGGGTTTGATTCCTCAGTACCACATAAACAAAAAAGCAAGAATTAGCGCTGTGACTCTAGTGACTGTAGGGTGCTAGTCTTAAACAAAAAAGCTAAGGGACAGTGCCCAGGCCCTGAGTTCAAGCCCCAAACTGCCTCCCTTCCCCTCCAAAGAAAATTCAACTAATGCCAGCTACATTTAATACAGTATTTGTAAATTTGGTAGGCTCAGGATCATCCCCAAGGCTTGTTAGATTGTTGAACTCCATAGCTTACAGACTGACTCAGAAAGTCTTGGATAAGCCCTAAGAAATGTTTCTTTAGGGGCTGGGAAGGTGGCTCAGTGGTAGAGCACTTGCCTTGCATGCATGAGGCCCTGGGTTCAATTCCTCAGCACCACATAAAAAGAAAAAAACTGAAGTGGCACTGTGGCTCAAGTGGTAGAGTGCTAGCCTTGAGCTGAAGAGCTGAGGGACAGCACCCAGGCCCAGAGTTCAGGCTGCCCCCCACAAAAAAGATGCATTGTACTTATAAATTTATCAATTTGTTGAATTGAAATCCCTTTGTACAACTAAAGACAATTTTTTTAAGTTTCAAAAAAATAATAATTTGTGGTATTTTATAATACCACTAACATGAAATGGCCAGAAATGGTGATTCAACCGTGTAGATTAGTGGTTGTTTAGAACTGAAGAGAATGGAATGATCATGAATACAAGAAACTGCTAAAATCTAATGAAATTCGTATTAAAATCAACTTAGTGGTATACATTTTGTGTATATTATCACAGTGAAACATAACTGTTGAAAAAATTATGTGAGAGCTAGGATAATGGTACAGGATTATAATCCTAGTTACTGGAGGGGCAGGTAGGACTGTAGTCCAAGACTAGCCTGAGGCAAAAATACAACTCCCTTTCCAAAAACAACCAGAATTTAAAAGGGCTGAAGGATAATTGACTAGTAAGCATGAGGCTGAGTTCAAACCTCAGTACCACACATACAGATTAATAACTGAAAGCTGGTTGCTAAGAAACATTAAATCAGACATTGTCATTGTAGCCATTTCTAGGAATATAATTATAATTAGAAGAGGAATACCAAGCTTTGTTTCTCTTCATCCCAAATAAGCAAGCCTAAGCTACAGAAATTATTTTAAGTTCAAAACCAGTCAAATTATACAGTACTTAGAAGGCTATTAAATGATAGGTATATACAAATATAATCATTGGAAACCCATGAGATAGCTCCCAGAAAATCTTATGCATGTAAAAGTAACAGCTCAATTTTCAGCTAATTTTTGAAAAATTAAAATTGTCTCACCAAATTAGTTTGTGCCCATATCCACTAGGGACAGTAGAACAAATCAGTGGCTCTACTACCCATAAGCCTCTAGTACACTCAAAGGAACTGTCCAGATTTCATCTTCTCGTATTTTGTACAATATAGCCTAAGGCATAAAGCATAATATAAGATAATCCTTATGGAAATCACTTAATTGGGCCAGGCACTGGTAGCTCATGCCTGTAATCCTAGCTACTCAGGATGCTGAGATCTGAGGATTGAGGTTCAAAGCCAGCCCAGGCAGGAAACTCCGTGAGACTCTTATCTCCAATAAACCACTAGAAAACCGGAAGTGGCACTGTGGCTTAAGCGGTAGAGTGCCAGCCTTGAGCTGAAGAGCGCAGGGACAGAGTTTAGGCCCAGAGTTCAAGCCCCATGACTGACAAAAAAAAAGAGAAGAAATCACTTAGTTGGGCCAGAGGCATGACTCAATGGTAGAGCACCTGCCTACCAAGTACAGGACACTGAATTCAAATCCCAGAATGGGGGGGGGGGGGGGAAGTCCATGTAATTTTACTGAACAGAAATATTGAATGTCCTGTAAAAACTTCCCATACAAACTTTCCCCCATTCTTTTGCTTCCTTCTCTGATTAAGAAAATTAAACTTTCAATCAAAATTAAATCTACAGTGCCTTTACTATCTAAAAGTAAAAGATACATAGTGCTTCCTCAACACAAAGAGGTAGCTTGAAAATTTATTCTAAAGTTCAAAAATAATTTTAAAGTTTTGTATTTCTTTCCTATTCCTCTTTAAATTAATCTCTACTTTTTCATTTTATGCACAATCCTGAAACTTCTAATTTGCATCTAAAAGCTAACAGGACTTACGTCTCATGAGTTCCAAAAAAGAAAATGGGTAGTTTGTTTGTAGGTAGTTTTACAGCTCCATCAGGAACTTCATCTACCTAAAAGAAACATTAAAAAAAAAATTACCATCATTCAGTCATATACACTTCAACACATCTGAATAAGTTGATAACATATTCAAGACAGCTGAAGATATAAATCAGACATTTTACAGGTTCCAAATCTTATTCCCAACTCTGAAACCTAAGAAGTTCCATAAAACAAAGGTGTCTTTTTCAAACTCACTTTGTTGCAAAACCACAGCTAATTCAGTCATTTCTTTTACGCAGTCATGTTTCTATGATTTCTCTGCAGAAAGTTATGTGCCATGCTAGCAGTAGCAAAACACATGGAATATGTACCACCATTAACTTCCTCAAATCCCCAAATTCTCAATTCTTAAACTTATCTTAATCCAAGTATTTCACATAAAGAATGTCAAAATCTACATGAAGAAATGCTCAACCTCTGTAGCCATAGAAGAAATGCAAATCAAAACAACATTGAAATACCACCTCACCCCATTTAGAATGGCTATAATCAAGACCTCTAATAACAACAGATGCTGGAGGGGATGTGGACAGAAGAGAACCCTACTGCATAGTTTCCAACCACTTTGGAAAGTACTATGGAGATTCCTCAAAAGACTCCACAAAGAGCTCCTCTATGACCCAGCAATCCCACTTTTGGGCATTTACTCAAATGATCACAAACAAGACCATACAAAAGCTACCAGGCCAACTATGTTTATTACAGCATTATTTACCATTGCTAAGATATGGAACCAACCGAGATGCCCCTCAGTAGATGAATGGATCAAAAAAAAATGTGTTATATATAAAATGGAATTCTATGCCTCTATCAGAAAGAATGACACTGCCCCATTTGTTAGGAAATGGAAAGACTTGGAAAAAAATTATATTAGGGGCTGAGAAGGTGGCTCAGGGGTAGAGCGCTTGCCTTGTATGAATGAGGCCCTGGGTTTGATTCCTCAGTACCACATAAGAAAAAAGCTGGAAGTGGCGCTGTGGCTCAAGTGGTAGAGTGATAGCCTTAAGCTGAAGAGCTGAGGACAGCGGCCAGGCCCATCCATAGTTGAGGCCCCACGACCGGACCCCCCCAAAAAAAATTAAGTGAAGCAAGCCAGGTGCAAAGAAACATAGGTCCCATTGGTTTTCCTTATTTGCTATAACTAGTATATATCTGAGACAAGCAGAAAAGGTCAAATAAGATGATATTAAGTGAAATGAACACCAAGATAAGGAATCAAGTGGTTTTTTTTCTTTCTTGCTATTGTTTGTAACGTATTTATAAGGTACCACATGATTTTTTTGTTTTTTTCTATGTCCCTCCCCCACGGTATAACCCATTTTCACTGTATTTGATGTTAGTATAATTTGGGAAGCAGAAGGGAAAAAATAAATTGTTTAAACAGGGATACAGGCTGACCCATTGCAACAATGACATGTACAAGACGCTATGTCAAAAAACAAACTTTAAGGGCTAGGAAGGTGGCTCAGTGGTAGAGCACTTGCCTTGCATGCATGAGGCCTGGGTTTGATTCCTCAGCACCACATAAGCAAAAAGAAAAAACCCGGAAGTGGCACTGTGGCTCAAGTGGTAGAGCGCTAGGCTTGAGCTGAAGAGCTGAGGGACAGTGCCCAGGCCCAGAGTTCAGGCTCCATGACCTTATCCAAAAAAAAAAAAAGAAAAACGAACTTTACAATTGGGGGGGGGGGTAAGTTGTATAGGTGGGAGGGAAGGGATGGTAGGGGGAAAACAAAGGAGGAAGCAACAATGCTTGATAAGAAATGTACTTATTAGTTTGCTCATGTGATTGTAACCCCTCTCTACAGTATCTTCACAATAAAAAAATTATTAAAAAAAAAGAATGTCAATCTACTTCACAATTCTAAATGACATTCTAGAAAGCATAAACAGAGTAATGTAAAAGCTGACATTAACAAAAGTTTAAAGCAACACTTCCCACTCTGAAATGTATAATGAAAACATACCTAAATTGTATGGCTGAATCACATGGGGTTACCTGTTCCTTTATTAGTTTTCAATCTTTCAAGCCACCAAGCACTAGTATGTTCTAAGAGTTAAATAACATTTCTATTTGAAATTTCAAAAACATGGGGTTAAAGTTGTGGTTCAGGTGGTAGAGCACCAAGCCAATGAGCAAAAGTATCAGATTACCAGGGTCTGAGTCCCAATCTCAGAGAGGAGTAGGACAAATACAAAACATTTTAATTAGAAAACAAGTTGACTGCAAATACAAGAGCTGACCCTACTATCTATCTGTGTAAGCATTACAGAATAGAAAATCTGGACTCATAATCTATAATAATGAGGGTTTCAGACAATAACAGAATAATCATCCAATAGTTCTAAGAACCTTAATTTCTCTACTTGTCCCCTCCATCCTTATACTATTATGTTGGTTCATATGCTTCTTTCTGCTAGTAAACAGCTTTAAGTGTTTGTTCAAACGCTTACTACGTGTTAGGCAAATATTTTAAGTTATTTTCAAAAGTACTGCTAATAGGAAGAGGTGACAAAGTTCCAAAACAGAAATGTACTCATTACTTATGAAATGGTAACCCCTGTACAAAACACTTTACTAATAACAAAATCTTATTTTTAAACTACCACTAGTGCTGGCGCCAGTGGCCTGTAATCCTAGCTACTCAGGAGGCTGAGGATCGAGGTTCAAAGCCAGCCCAGGCAGGAAAGTCGGTGAGACTCTTATCTCAGATAAAACCACTAGAAAACTGGAAGTGGCGCTATAGCTCAAGTGGCAGAGTGCTTGCTTGAGCTCAAGAGCGCAGGGACAAGAAGCTTGCAATATGTTTCAAAGTCAAAGCATATACAAACGAGTTAAACAGATTTTCCTAAAGGGAACTGCTAGCTTAAAATACCAAAGGATTATTATATTAAGGATTATTCTAGTAAGACTCTACTGAAAAGGTAGACTAGGGGAAAAAAGGAAACAAACTGAAATTGATAAAGACCTGGAAGGAGAAGGGATCAAGGCACATTGGAAAAGTCCATCAAGCCACATACTGCAGATTTGGGCACACTACTGTACACATTGTTTTCATGAAAATATATAAATATAAAACAAAATCAATGAACAAAGTGATCTTTGTTTTGTTTTTTGTTGGCCGGTCCGGTCAATATAAATATAAAACAAAATCAATGGACAAAGTGATCTTTGTTTTGTTTGTTTTTTTTTTGGATCCAGTCGTGGGGCCTGAACTCTGGGCCTGGGCGCTGTCCCCCAGCTCTTCAGCTCAAGGCTAATGCTCTACCACTTGAGCCACAGCACCACTTCTGGCTTTTTTCTTTGTGCTTATGTGGTGCTGAGGAATCAAACCCAGGGCCTCATGCATGCAAGGCAAGCGCTCTACCATTGAGCCACCTTCCCAGACCCCAAAGTGCTCTTTTAATACTTGGGAAACACTTAGCTTCTCACTCCATGATTCTCTATCTAATGGGTATTCCCCCACCTCCTCTTCCTAGGTACCATAACTAGAACTGTGATTTATTTTTAAGAACTGTCTTTTGAAAAGAAAATTAAGTATCAAATAGTTTGAAAATAAAACAACTTTGGAACATCACAGTTATATTTTGAAAAAAGGGTTTTGACTGTACCTAATTAATAGATCCCAATATTCCTGGGTTCTGAGGACCTGAATCCCACCATAAATTGATTTAAAAAAAAAAGACCTTTCCCTGAACTAAATTCAGAAAGTCTCATGAACTGCAATTTGTAATCCTTTTGTAAGCAAAAAGTGTAAAACAACTTAATCATAGCTGACACTCAAGAATTGATCATCTGCATTAGATTCCATTGGTATTTTGTATCTTACTCAAAAAATTAAAGAAATGGTAATGGTTCACTAAATTTTAAACATACAAACTCCTACTTGGGTCATTTCACCTACAATGGAGCCACTCCCTAGCTTGTTTTCCACCAGCAGATCATTCTGTTTAACTCTTTCTGAAATGACTCAGGCCAAAAATGCTATCTGGAAAGGCTCTGCTTCATCTTCCAATGGCGCCTATTTACAATCTTTCTTGGTAGTTGTAAACTACTTAGAAGTAGACATCATCTTATGCATTGCCTATACTTGGCAGATAATCAATTTTTCTAACAAATATTTAAATGGATGAGAAGAAGCAGGTGATAAACCCTGATGGAAAGATAAGGCATAGAGGGTCAGAGTGCTTGCCTATAATCCCAGCTATCATAGAGGTGAAGGTAGAAGGATCAGGAATTGGAAGCCAGCCTAGGCAACTCAGTGAGACCCTGTATTAAAGAATATAGATGGTTGCCCGGACTCACGCCTGTAATCCTAGCTACTCAGGAGGCTGAGATCTGAGGATCGTGGTCCAAAGCCAGCCCAGGCTGGCAAGTCCGTGAAACTCTTACCTCAAATAAACCACCAGAAAACTGGAAGTGGCACTGAGGCTCAAGTGGTAGAGCTCTAGCCTTGAGCTGAAGAGCTGAGGAACAGTGAGTGTCCAGGGGCAGAGTTCAAGCCCCACGACCAACCAAAAAAAAAAAAAAAAAGAATATAGAGGATTAAGAATATAGCTCAGGTAAACTTGTTCAACCACTTTGGAAAGCAGTATGGAGGTTCCTCAAAAGACTCCACATAGAGCTCCCCAATGACCCAGCAATCCCACTTTTGGGCATTTACCCAAATGATCACAAACAAAGCCACACTAAAGCTACCAGCACAACTATGTTTATTGCAGCATTATTTACCATAGCTAAGACATGGAACCAACCCAGATGCCCCTCAGTAGATGAATGGATCAAGAAGATGTGGTATATATACACAATGGAATTCTATGCTTCCATCAGAAAGAATGACATTTCCCCATTTGTTAGGAAATGGAAAGGCTTGGAAAAAATTATATTAAGTGAAGTAAGCCAGGCTCAAAGAAACATAGGTCCCATGGTTTCCCTTATTTGCAATATCTAGTATAGGTATGAGTCAAGCGGAA